AAGAAAATAATATATCCCAACTTATTAGCAATTAATTTTTTTTCTCATTGTGACTCATTTCTCAACTTTCTCTCAAACATAATTCAGAGAGTAAATTGCTTGAAGTCAATGTTTGGTGAAACTTTGGTTAAAGCGCACCCCAACGTTGCTATGAAATTTTTTAATCCGTTCGCTCGGCAATTCAATTAACCTGTTGTTCATATCATCGTTGCGTACTTGGAATTTCTTAAAATATTTTTCAAATTCAAAATTCGAACGTAAAATTACAATTTGACTTCTGCTCCTTCATTTTTTGTGAATTGAAAATTCATATAAATAATTACATAAACATTCTAATTCTTGTTCTTTGCTGTCATGGAATGTTAAGTTACAGCCTTTTATTCTTAATACAACTTTTTAATGTAAACATTGTGCGGTTGAAAATTCATGTAACTTGAGAGTTTTTATCTTCATGCTATTAAAAAGTGTTGATTTCTATTGAATTTTCAGTGAAATTTGAAATGTCATAACTTTTCCCTCTCAAACTGAAATCAATGTTTCTCCTCTAAAAATTGCTAATAAACTGAGCATGAAATTTTATTTACTTGTTTTCAACAGTTTAATTGCTATTTACCCATAACTATTAGAGAACATTTAAAAAATCTTGAAAGTGAAAAATAGAAAGTCAACTTACCGAAGTAGATTACGACCATGATTATTTTTTATGTAAACAATTTAATAGCTTCCATTTTTTCACTCTCGAAGTGAAAAATTGATGATCATTGTAATAGTATTTTTTCTTGAATTTTTATGAATTCTTCCGCTTCCGGAATTTCACTGAACATTAATTTCATGCCAAAGAAATTTAATGTCTTGTTCGTAATCGTTCTCGTTGCAAAAAGCAATGCGAATGATGAAAATGATATGTTCCAATTTATTAGTTGTTAATTCTTCATATTGCAATGAATTACTCATCTGCTAATTGCTATGATCACGGAGTAATATTTTAATCATAAAATTATTTTCTCGAACGTAATTCAGAGAGTAAATTTCTGAAATTCAATGATTGTTGATACTCTAGTAAAAGTGGGTGTCAATACTTATAAATTTTTCTAATTAGCTCATTCGGTATTTCACTTAATTTGTGAGTCATATGATCAATACAATTCTAATATCAACACCTCATATATTCAGCACAAAATAAATAATCAAAAGTTGAAATAAATTCATGATAATGATGCAGATCAAATGACATAAATATGATCATCCTAATTCTCAGCTATTACGAAATGAGACAGATTTTTTTTTCACATATAAATTTGGAATTTGGATACTGTTGTTTTTTTTCTTTTGTCTTGCTTATATTTTACTATTGGGTAATACTTGAGAGTGGATTATATGGCGAGGACACTGGACACTACTGTATTGAAGTTGGATATTATTTTTATCTATTCAATGAAAAATAAATTTAACTATTGATTCTAATAATCTTTGTTTGAAGAAAACGTCAGTAAATGCAACCTTTAAAAAGTTGAAAAAATGATTAAGACAATCATAATTTATTTATCAATAAAAAATACAGAGCAATTCTGAACAGAGTAATTATTTTTCAAATGAGAATTCTAGTAACTTGGATCGAAAAATGTATTGAATTCCATGTAATTGTCATGAAATGTGAACTTCATTGCTTGCTCTTTCAAACTGAATTGAATATCTTGTTGCCTGAAATTTACTACTAAAAGATCCATGGAATTTCATTTTTTCTTCAACAGTTTAATTACCTTGTTCAAGAATACTAAATTTTTCACTCTAGAAATGATTTTTTTCCTAAATCACGAAAATTTCAATAAAAATCAATTTAATGCAAAAAAAATGATGTCTTTAGAAGTTTAGAGCATTTCCATATTCATTCCTGCAAAGGGAATGTTGAAAAAGGCAATTATTCGCGGAATGCCTTTATTTGCGAACTTTTACTGGCCAATCCAATGAAGGAGTTAGATGATAGAAATTCTTCAAATAAAAAAAATTTAGACTTTTTTATGTCATGTAGAAAATTCATTACTCTTTCATTTTGTAAAATAAAGATTGATTTCATTTAACAAACCCTTGAACTAAAATTGAATAAAAAAATTGAAGACGAATATTTTAATAGTTACAACTTAGAATTAAGTCTGAATGATTTGGAAGAATATAAGATTCATTTCTTTTATTCCACGATTGACATTCAAGTTTATTTAATTATGAACTATTTCAACCATCTTGTCAATTTTTAACACTCATCACTAACGAATAATTTTCCATTTCATTCAACATAAATATATCTGTGTGGAAAATATGCACTGATTTCCCATTCCATTTATCATAAACAAAAACGTGTGCAAAATCTATGCCCTGATTTTCTATTCCAGTCATAACAAACAATTCCGTNTGGGTTTTCTGTGGTTTCCCCATGCTACTCCTATGTTCTATAGGAGTGCGAATGCGGTACAGTGTAGAATCCACCGCCGCATGCGTAGGGTTGGATAGAGTGCCGAATGGGACCCGAAAAAAGACTCCGAGGCCTTAAAAAAAAAAAATCTATGCACTGAGTTTCTATTCCAGTCATAACAAACTGTGACGTCAAGAATGGGTTACTTGACACAACTTTATTAAATTAAAATTCAATATACTGAACCAAAGAAACAAGATTAACTTCAAAGATCGTCTCGAAATTAAGGAATAGAATTCAAGCACAAAACCCATTTACAAAGGTCCCCTTTAACTTCAATTTTCTAAACCCCAAAAGTATTTGGAATCAAAGGTTGGAAAGGTTCACTTGGAGTAAAATGAAAAGAATTTTGAATAACTTTAAAGTGACTCAATAGAGTCTATATTTTAACAAAACAAGTAGAAAAGTATAACTACAACATTCGACTTACATTCACTGCTCTGCTTTCAGTCGTAAAGTATTTTGTATGTGGTTAAAAGTAATGCCGCACTGAATTTAAGACGTTGGATTAAATTCTTTATTTAAATGAAT